GTTTAGACTATGGTTCATGTAGAGAACGACCAAACGACGAAGGTGCATGCTTTGCAGGCCGTACAACGCGTTGGCCAGTTGCCGTGCATCGAGTTCCTCTTCGTGCAGACTGCGCGCCAGTAGCGCCAGGCTCTCTTTGGAAAACACCTGAGGGGATTCCGCAGTTTTCCGTAAGGGGGACCTCTAATATAGACCCCAATCTACTATAATCCTTTAATGGGGACCCCCAACCCCTGATTTTGCGGAACCCCCACTTGGGGTGCGGGGTTCTGGGTTTAGCACTTGGGACGCAGGGGAAACCAGAATCCAACTTATGAAGACTCTCAGTCTGGGTCCTACAAGTATCAGTCATCGAATGGGGGTATAGGGTTTTTTGGGATTATATAGGGCTTTTATAGGGATTATAAGGTATTTAGGGAAAATGGAAAGGAGCATGGAAACTACTATAATGTTTAGAAGTTTAGGGGCAGTGGGGATTAAGGGACAGGACTTTGAAGATGTTGGCCTCAGCAGCATCCATCTTAGCGCCCTGGTAAAGGATAGTTGCCAAATTCACGCCTCAAGGGCATGGATGGGTGTAGGGTTCAGGGGCTTAGGGTTTAGCTTAGGGTTTAGGGGTTTAGGGTTTACCGGTTTAGGGTTTAGGGGGTTTAGGGATCCATTGCCAAAGCAAACAGCATGTTGTTGGTTTACCTCAGCTTTGGCATTTTTTCCCCATAAAGACACGCCCCCGAATGACATAGTCCCAGTGTTGTACCACAGGACATTAGAGGAAAATCTACTGATTCGCGTGCAGTGCAGGGCTTTGTTACGTGTAAGCTGACGCGGAATAATTGAATAACGGGAACCGTACACTGCAAGAAGTACCGCAGCTACAAACTGCCAGCGCTTGCAGACAACTTGTGCCACTCTTACTATGTTGCTATGCTATCATTCACGCAGTCATTGCAAATCAAAAGTCTCAAGAGGAACTAGAACCCTAAACCCTATACCCTAAACCCTGAACCCTAAACCCTGAACCCTATACCCTGAACCCTAAACCCTTAACCCTAAATATTCAGTCCACGCCACTGTTCAATGACCGCGACTCCTTGACAAAGGTCTGCAGGAGCTTTCGCATGTCCCCGGCCGTCTTTGCGGCCAGGATCTCCTTTTAAGTCATCTACGAACGAAATGGGGTTCCCCAAATTGGGGGTTATATAGGGGTACTAAAAGGATATAAGGGTTATGTAGGACTACTAAAGGGACATATATGGGTATAAGGTTTAGGGATTCCCAAAATTAGGGGTACCTTTTGGGGGTACCCATAACAAGGATTACATTTTATGTGATCTATATTGGGTACCCCTTGTTTTGGGAAACTACCCAATGGGGGAGTCTATGTCCACAGATGCTGTTAAGTGTGGGCACTTCCAGCTCATTTCCATCAGTAACATCCCTAAACCCTAAGCTGGGTTTAGGGTTTAGGGGTTTAGGGTTTTTTTAGGGGTTTCGGGTTTAGGGGTGTAGAGGTTTTATGGTTTAGGGGTTTAGGGGTTTAGGGCCTAAACCCCTAAACCCCCAAATGGAAAGAGAATTTCGTCCCCGTACTCACGTCCCTCCCGCCTTGTTGGTGCGGATGAACCAGTATCTGCGATTGCCAGGGCTGGATCTCTTCGCACGCACGCGCTGCTTGCCTGAATGCTGTGAAAGAGTGGGGCGAAATTCTGCTGGCTCAGGTTCTCTTAGTTCTGGTCCCATGTGAAGGGCTAAGCACCATGGTCTGTCGATACTTCGGGGTTCGTCATTAGTGTTATGATTACTAGTATTACTATGACTATTGTTCTTATTATTGCTCTTATTGTTACGATTATGACTATTGCTATTATTATGACTACTACTATTCCTATTCTTGTTATGTGAGTCTCTTAGCTCGCCATCTTGCAGCAAGTCACTGGTCTGCACTGCCTGCCTCCTCACTGAGGGCACCTTGCAACCCGTCACCGGCCAGGTTGCTGCAGCGTAGCCCGTGTAGCAAGTCGCCAAAAATAGATGGCTTGGGAAGTAACGTGGATGTCGGGGTTGTCCAGTAACATGCGGTCCTCAAAGGCTGCCAAAGGAACTTTGAAACCCAACTCTTGGCTAGCGACTCACACACACACACGTATATGTATGCATACACATGTGCACGCACGTGTTCGTGTGTGCACCTAAATCTATACCGGTAAATACATTAATTACATTACATTACGTTACATTACATCACATGGCATTGCATTGCATTGCATTACATTACATACATGCATATGGCTATATTTATGTAACACTTTGGAAGGGAGCCTAAGGGCGGCACTCAAGAAGTGGGCTTCCGCCGAGATGGCGTCGCAAGGCCCCAGGATCATCTGGGCCATAATCTAAGCTCCGAGTATTTAGGGTTTAGGGTTTAGGGTTTAGGGTTTAGGGTTCAGGGTTTAGGGTTTAGGGTTTAGAGTTTAGGGTTTAGGGTTTAGGGTTTAGGATCCCTCTTAGTAACCCCTATAGTAGTCCCCTATATGATCCCCTATATAGACCCATTTTAAGGAGTTAAGAGCCTACATCCTAGACCCTAAACCCTAAATCCTAAACCCCAAATGAAACCCTATATAACTCCCCCTTCAGGGAGTTTAGACCATAGCCCATGTGGGGGTTTCTTCAGAGGTAAGGGATTCTGGGGATCCCAAGGATGGAGAGTGAGGACCTTCGGGACCCCAGGATCTAGAGTTTGGGGCTTGCATGAGCTTTAGGGTTTAGGGTGTTGTGTTTAGGGTCTAGGGTTTATAAGGTTTAGGCTTAAGCAACCCCAGGGAATACTGGTAGATATATGTGGGTTACTATACCTTCCTCTTCCACCACCATTTAGGGCGAAGCACCTACGCTATGCAGGGACGCTAATGGTTCTTTGAGTATAAAACTTGGCCGGAATTCAAGTTCTCGAACTTGAAGGCTGGAGGGCAACCACCCTGCCCCGGACTAACATGCAATCGCGCATAGACCCCCATAATGTTGCCGGGAGGGAATTATTTATAGCAAGACTTGGCCGACATGCATCAGTGATGTGCCTCTGTCTTGAACCACAATGGGCTGGTGCATGGTACATGCCTGAAAGCTATAGTCCCCCTTAAGTAGATAGAATATGGCTTTGGGTATATTATAATAAGATCCGCGTATACCCCATATTCTATCTACTTAAGGGGGTTTAGGGTATAATAAGATCCCCTTGTACCTCATATTCTATCTACTCAAAGGGGACTCTAAACCCTAAACCCTGAAAGCTAAATAGTAGTTTCTGTTGTTGTTGTTTTTTTAATTACATTATGTACTTACTGTTAGGGACTATAAATCCTAAGTTGCTCAGAGCGCATTTCCCTTTACAACGACATGAAGGTTCCAGGATTGCGTGGCTTCTCGAGATTCCCCTTGTCTTGTGGAATGCTGAGGCGAAGGATCGGCGAAATCCCCAAGATAGCCCTATGGCCCCAAAAGCCCTAAGGGCCCCCTGATAGCCTACACCCTAAACCCCCGAACCCCCTAAACCCCTAAACCCTAAACGCTAAACTCATCCCCTTTGTAGTCTAAACCCCCAAACCCTAAACCCCTAAACCCTAAACTCATCCCTTTGTAGTCTAAACCCCCAAACCCTAAACCCCTAAACCCTAAACCCTAAATTCATCCCCTTATAGCCTAAACCCCCAAACCCTAAACCCTTTTCAAAGAACCCCCCCCCAAGTCCCCCCAAGTGGGGTGCATATAATAAACCATAATATACCCTATAGAATCCCTATAAACCCTAGTAGTTTCCATTTCATTTTCCATTATCCCTATACAACCCCCCAACCCTAAACCCTAAACCCTAGACCCTAAACCCTAAACCCTATACTATGGTAGTTTCCATGTTACTTTCCATTATCCCTATATAGCCCCAATAATCTAAACTCCTAGTATCCCCCTTAATATACCCTATAGTAGTCCCCTATATGATCCCTTATATAACCCCCTTTAAGGAGTTTAGACTATAGCTCAAGTGGGGTGGAGAAGGCCAAGCCGGAAACAGAAGCTACGCGCTCCTCCTCTACCTTCGCTTGCCTCCTGCTGGTGGTTTAGGGTTTAGGGTCTAGGGGCTTAGGGTTGAGGGTTGAGGGTTTAGGGTTTAGGGTTTAGGGGTTTAGGGTCTCTGGTTTGGGGTTTGACATCGTACTTGTTGAGAAAAGGGACAAGTTCTCATGGACAAACTGATTACCAAGAACCTTCGATGCAATTACAGTAGCTAGCATGTGAGAATCATCATCAAGATGTGCTGAGAGGAAGTAGCGAGAAGAGTAAGGATGTTGTCTGAGACCTCGGTAGAAAATCCTGGCAAAGAACCACTATGATATATACGTAGATGTATATATATATATATGCACATATATATATAAACACACACAGAGTTATCTCTCTCCCTATCTCTGCCACGGCAACAAGGGCACTGCTCTGAGCAGAAACCCTCAAATGGCGCACAAAAATACGCCTGTCATCTGCTTCTGCACGAAGCTGTCTCGTTGCTCCCACTGCTCCACGTCTTCTGCCTGCAGGTGGGTTTTGAATACTGCCCCCACCCAGTAGCAGGCTTCAAGTAGGGGCTGCTGGCCTTTCGAATAAGAGCATCATCCAGTGAAGGGGGCGGTATCTAAAGAATGAGACCCTCAAGTGCTTCTTCTACAATTCCTCTATACTCCCCAAAACCGAAAACTATCCTGGACCCTAAATGCGAAACTAAAGGTCCAAGCGCCTGCGTTCAGCATAAGGGCAAAGGAACCACCAGCCAGGCATAGGGAGCCAAGGCCCAACGTCCTCTCTAAGCTTTGAGTCTTCTAAGCAGGGTATCCCTATAAAGAGGGATATATAGGGTTAATTGGGATAATGGAGAATAAAATGGAAACTACTATAGTATAAGGTTTAGGGTTTAGTGTTTAGGGATTCAGGGCTTTATAGGGGTTTTCAGGTGGTGGTGGGAGTGTTGGGTTTGAGGTCTATGGCTCTTAGGGCTGCCAGTTTGGAGAGAAGGTTTGAAGGCTTGTAGGTCGCAGAGCTGCTCAACAAGGACTGCGCTGATCTTCTTACAAAGGCTCTTGCACAATCATGGGCCCTTACAAGTTATAGTCCCCCTTAAGTAGATAGAATATGGAGTATGTGGGAATCTTACTATAGTAGTGGGTATATGTAAGGAATGGAGAGCCGGAACTCAATGTCTAAGACAACCCCACATTGGCACGAACGAAGACGCCTCAATTCGAGCTTTGCATCATCTTCATACGGAGGGCGGAGGAAATCTTGCGCAACTTCGAATCCCCAGTATAGCACAATTCCCCAAATGAGCCATAGTCTAAACTCCTAGTCTCCCCCTTAATAGTAGTTCCCTATATAACCCCCCATATAACCCCTGTAAAGGAGTTTAGACTATAGCTCAAATGGTGCAGCATCACAAGTAGGGGGACGAAGGGGGATCCCTTGTAATTCCTAGGGTGAAACAGGTGTGGGGTAGCACAGGATTTTTCATAAAGAACCTACACGGTTTAGGGTTTAGGGTTTAGGGTTTAGGGTAGAAACATACCAGAAACCATCCTCGCCAGTTAGAGATGCAACTGATTCACATGGCACCACTACAGCTATGAAATTACGACGGTAGTGATGATACGTAATGAAAATACAAGCACTACCAATAATTACCTTGATTCTACCCATACAATAAATACACCCTAAATCCTAAACCCCAAACCCTAAACCCTAAACCCTGAACCCTACACCCAAAACCCTAAACCCTAAACAAAATATACACCCTAAACCCTAAACCCTGATTTCCATTTTTCCAGCTAGAAGAGTGCTGGAACCCTCAGCCTCTCCTCGACTCACCGGCATCGGAGGCCTTGAGGCGGTTTAGGGTTTAGGATTTAGGGTTTTTCTTTAGGGTTTAGGGTTTAGGGTTTAGGGATTTAGGGTTCAGGGTTTAGGGATTTAGGGTTTAGGGTTTAGGGGTTAGGGGTTTAGGGTTTTTGTTTACAACCCTTCGGACTTTTGTGTCTGCTCGCTGAAAGGATCTCCCGGGTTTTGGTTTGAGGGTTTAGGGTAATAGTGGCTTAAGGGGTAGAAAGGGTTATATTAGGGTCCTCGAAAATTTCCTATCATACCACTATTACAGGGTGGGGGGGGTCCTCCTAACCCAGGGTTTAGGGTCTAGGGTTAAGGGTTTAGGAGGCCACCTTTTAAGAGCTCAAGTGTTAGTTTTGGCGTGTTCCTTTCTGACATTCCTAAAGAATGTCTGGAAACCCTTGACTCGTATGAAGGGCTTTCAAGTGTCATGAGTGTTGCAGGTACAGCGGAGGACCCCAAGCGTGAGAAAGAAGGTATAATAGTTTCCCTAAAAAGCAGATCCCAATTTAGATCCCAAACTATGATAATCCTTTTTATCGGGACCCGCAAAAAGGTCTAAACCCTAAACCCCTAACTAAACGCTAAACCCCTAAAACCCTAAACCCCTAGACCCAAAACCCTAAACCCCCAAATCCTAAACCCCTAAACCCAAA